TCAAATAAAGAGAATCTCTCGCGTCGATAGATATACAAATTAAAATTAGATAAGCAATGCTATATAAGAGTATAAACGAGTGGATGTAGAAAAAACAAATGCAGAAAATGAGATTTTGGTTGAAATAAAAATTCTACTCTTATGTAAAATTATTGTCCAAAAATGACGTTTGTGTTGTAAATAAAGTATTATTTGTGAATGATTATTTTATCCCTATAATCTTAATTATAACTTATAAATATGGAGTTTTGATTTTCAATAAGCTAAACACACAAGTTTATTGACTTTTTTTTTTTAAAAAAAATTTTGTAACACGTTATCCATACGAAGTTCTGGCTAATTGAGTTAGGAAAGCTTTTTTCTCTTTCTACACATGAATCTCTAACCATGTTGAGAAAAGTAATTTCTCTTCCATTCAGAGAAAGACATGAAATTTTAACGAAATGAACTTATAAATGAACTCCTTTTTTGTTCAAAAAAAAAAAAAATGTCAGCATTTTCTTAAATTTGGATGGTATAACAGAGCGATAAAATTATTTTGACAATCTATTGCTAGATATATATTTGCTTGAATATAATTTATTATTATTCGTAAAGAAGTATCAATCTAAATCATTTTTGAAAGAATATTAGTTCGTTGCTCTTGAAGAAGCACGACTCCATATCAAATAAAATATCGTGTTCATACTTTCAAAAAATATTATGTTATTCCCAAAGAACTACAAATTTATGCATATAATAATAATAATAATAATAATAATAATAATCTCGAGAGCATAAATATTTTACAATATTGTTGAAGAATATTATGTAATTATTCTTGAAGAATCATAGATTTATACACTTCAATATGAATGATCCTGAAAAATATTATCATTTAAAATGCTCCAAAAGAAGCAAAGTATATTTAATACTCCAGAAGAAATTTGTTTTGATGTTGTGGAATAAAAATAACTTATAAATTGATTATAATTAGCTTTTACTATATATTTCTGAAAAATATATTAAGGCTTCTGAAGAAACATAACTTGATAGGTCAATACTTAAGTAAACTAGACGGATATATGTAATTCTTACTTTTATTTTTCTCATGTTACCGTCTCAATTATTGATGAGAATAAAATATGTATATTATGTTTTTCAAAAA